TGTCCTGAGGGGTAAGAATGGAGTGGGTATCCTGGTAGATAGCCATCTTAGAGAGTCCGTGGTAGAGGTCAGGCGGGTGAATGATAAATTAATGACTATTAAGTTAGTGGTGGGTGAGGGTATTTTAAATGTCGTTAGCGCGTACGCACCGCAAACAGGCTTAGAGAGGATATTAAGAGGCACTTTTGGGAGGGGTTGGATGAGATTGTTCGTAGTATACCGCCTTTTGAGAGGTTATTCATAGGAGGAGATTTCAATGGTCATATTGGGTCATCTGCAGGTGGGTACACTGAGGTGCATGGCGGCTTTGGTTTCGGAGAGCGGAACGGAGGGGGCATTGCGCTGTTGGACTTTGCCAAGGCTTTCGATCTAGTCATTGCGAACTCGAGTTTTACGAAGCGGGATGAACATTTGGTTACTTACCAAAGTTCGGTGGCGAAGACTCAGATTGACTATCTCCTCCTCAGGAGATGCGACAGAAGGTTGTGCGAGGACTGCAAGGTTATCCCAGGTGAGACCCTCTCAACGCAGCATAGGCTTTTGGTGATGGACATTTGTATTAGGATAAGGAGGAAGAAAAAGTCAGTACAAGGACGCCCCAGGATTAGGTGGGGCGCCTTAACTAAGGATAAATCTAAGGAGTTGGAAGTAAGGTTATCGGCAATGAGAGCTTGGAGAAGTAGTGGGGACGCAAACACAATGTGGTCGACGACGGCGGACTGTATAATAAAGGCGGCGAGAGAGGTGTTAGGGATATCTACGGGACACAATGGTGACCACAAAGGAGATTGGTGGTGGAATGCAGTTGTCCAAGGTAAAGTGGAAGCAAAGAAGGCGTCTTACCTGCGGTTAGTAGGGAGCACTGACGAGGAGGAGAAGAGAGAGAACAGTCAAAGGTATAAGGTAGCTAGGAAGGAGGCGAAGATGGCAGTGACGGAGGCTAAGACGACAGCTTTTGCTCGTCTGTATGAGGAACTAAGGAACAAAGGTGGGGAGAAGAAGTTATTCCGACTCGCTAAGGCGAGAGAGAGGACAACTCGGGATCTGGACCAAGTGAGGTGCATAAAAGATGATGACGGCAAAGTTTTGATGGGAGATGACCAGATTAAGAGGAGGTGGCAGACCTACTTTCATAAACTTCTAAGTGAAGAAGGGGATCAGGATATTATACTTGGGGAATCGAGGAATGCCGACAGTCACCATGAAGTAAGTAATTGTAGGGACATTGAGATCGATGAAGTCATGGAGGCAATGCGTAAGATGAGAAGGGACAGAGCTACCGGGCCAGACGAAATTCGGTTGAACTGTGGATGTGTGTGGGTAGAGCAGGCTTGGAATGGCTTACTGGATTGTTTAGTATTATATTCAAGACTAATAGGATGCCTGAAGAGTGGAGGTGGAGTACAATGGTTCCGTTGTATAAGAACAAAGCTGATGTCCAGAGCTGTAACAACTATAGGGGCATCAAATTACTAAGTCATACCATGAAAGTTTGGGAGAGAGTGGTAGAAATGAGAGTGCGAAGGACGGTGTCTATTTCAGACAACCAGTTCGGGTTCATGCC